AGAGCCATAATCACAGATAAAACAATTTACCACAACAGACCAGACATCACACTCATTGACAAACACAATAAAATCACATACATTATAGACATAGCCATTCCAAACACTCACAATGTACAAAACATATGCACTGAAAAAATTAGCAAGTACACGGAACTTGCCCAGGAAATAAGGCATCTGTGGAGGATGGAAAGGATGCTTATTGTACCTGTCATTCTCTCCTCTACAGGTGTCATACCACATATGCTACACAAAAGCCTGGAAACAATAAAATTGAATAGAAATACATACATCACACTACAGAAGGCCACTATATTGAATACATGCCATATTGTTAGAAAATTCCTGAATACAGACGCACACTGACACACTTATTTAATTTTTGTCTTGTTTTGAAATTACTATGCCTTGACTCTGGTCCAGCATAGTACACAGCCATCAGTGTCAACCGAGTGTAACTCACAAAACTCAAAGTAATAATATAATAGGTTTATGGCATTACGAAATTCTATTAATAGTATCATATCATACATTTTTACGTTAGGTGTGCTGTGAGTAGAAAAAAGTCGCAGAACACTGATCTAGAACAGTATTTCCCAATCTTTTACAATTGGCAACACACTTTAAATTTAATTAAATTCCTGCACCATCATAATTTTTAAAATAAAAATATTTAAAATTCTTTTCTAATTAAAACTGTGTCCATTTTTAATTATATTTTGCTAAAAATTTAAAATAAATTATACTTGATTTAAATAATTTTGATAATATTGAAGTTAAACTTACCAAGACAAAAACTCGCCATTTTACAAATATACTACAAAAATAGAAAGACTATTTGAATCAATTTGTAAAGAGCAATTATGGGTTTTTAAGTTGGTAAGTCACAACATTTATAGACCCTCCAAAGAGTTAGTCAAAATATACAAGGACGTACACAACTTTTCTGAGGGTGTATGCTAATGCCACAAATTTTTCAACAATCAGAATTTTAGAGAATATCTCCTTCTCCCT